AGTGGCTTTGCTGCTGCCAGCGGAGATATGGACGGGAACGGCTGCACCGATCTAGTTGTCAGCGGAGGCAACGGTGAGGTAGTGCCAGGCAAGCCCCTGATGCTTACGTGGTGGAAGTCGAACTGTAGTGGTGGGTTCAGCATTCAGCACATTCAGAACTATGGGCAAGCCATGGATTACGTGGGGATTGTCGATGTCGACGGCGATGGACGGCTCGATGTTGTTGCTACCTCCAGCAACACGTACTCGAGCGCAAGCTTCACTGTATTCAGTACCAAGGACGGATTGGTCTGGTCTGCGATGACTGCAGCCGTGAGTGGAACTCGCACCTGGAGAGCAGTAGCAGATGTCAACGGCGACGGACTACTCGACGCCGTTACCTATAGCTCGGGCGGTGTTCGCGTTGCCCTGCAGAGCGGTCGCGACGCGGACACGGTCTACACGCCGCAGACCAGACCGCTGGATCTACGGCTAGCGCCGTGTATGCTGGATCGCTTCTCGTTTGCCTGCGTCGCCGCCAACATCGCCGCCTCCTCGCGGTGCGTCGCCGACACGCTGATGCTCGAGCCAGGTGTCTACTCGTGTGTTGCTGACGCGCATTTTGTCCTCACGCATTCGGTCGTGCTGCGTGCGGCAGTGCCTTGGCTCGGTGATCTTTGAGTGCGCCGACGCTGCAGCTGGGCGTGGCCCGGGTCCTGTTCACGGTGGCAGAACATCCGCAGCCGACGTGGCGACGGTCGGGCGACTGGTGCTTCGATGGCGTTGAGGTGCGCCGGGGATGGAGACGGCACTAGCCGAGCTACATGGTACGCCTGGGCTTCGGGTGAACGGGAACGGTGCGGCGCTCGAGCTGCGCAACGCTACGATCCGCGGGTGCCGGGCGAGCGAGCCGGGTGACGACCAGGTGATGGTCGACGTGGGCGTGGGCGGAGCGGTGCTGGCGTCGGGCGGTGGACGGGTGGCGGCGACCGGGAGCCTGTTTGCCGACAACAGCGCAGCGGGCGAGGGCGGAAGCTTGGCGGTGCGCGGGAGCGGGACTGTGGCCGAGCTCGAAAAGAGTGTGATCGACGGCAGCATGGCAGGGCGCGGCGGCGGGGTGTCTGTCAGCAGTGGCGCGAGGCTGGAGGTGCGTGACGGGACGGTCATCCGCGGCTGCACAGCAAGCGGCGACGGCGGCGGGGCGTGGGTGGGGCCGGGCGGGGCGACGCTAGCCATGGTCGGCGGCGAGGTGAGCGACAACACGGCGGGGGGCATCGGTAGCGGCGGCGGATTGCATGTTGTGGGCGGATCACAGGCCGATCTCGACGGGGTGACTGTCCGCGGCAACCGGGCTGGGTCAGCTGGCGGCGGGCTCGCGATTGTGGCGAGCAGCGTGTCGAGCGGACTGGCGGTGGCGCGGGCTTCGGTTGACGTGCCCGAGGTGACGGCTGTAAGTGGCGATGCCGAGCGAGCCAAGGCGGGCTACGCTGCGGCGAACCGGCTCAGCGACTGCGTGATCACGGGCAACACGGCCGGGACGTTTGGACACGGGCTTGCTGTTTGCGGCGAGGGCGTGGGGGTGTCCGGAGCAGCGACACGGTGGCGCGACAATGCCGGGCGCGACGACGTGTTTGTGTGCGCAGCCGAGGGAGTGGCGGCGTCGCTGGCAGGGCCCGAGACAGTGCCATGGCTGCGTGTGGCGAGCGATGCAGCAGCTGAGGTGCTGACAGCCAGCTCGGGGACCCGCATCGCGGCACCTCTGAGCCGGCTCGAGTGGGTGACGGCGCCGGCCGGCACGGTCACGAGCGGGGACGGGCCGCGAGCGACGGTGGTCGGAGTTGACTGGCTCGGGCGCGAGCACATCGAGCCGGAGCTTGATGTGGCGGTTGTTGTAGACGCACCGAGCGGGATGCTTGTGAGCGGCGAGACCACGAGTGCCATGTCACAGGCAGTGACGGCGGTGCCAGGCGTGAGCGTGTCTGTGCTAGCGTCAGTGGCATCGTCGGTGACGCTCCCTGCGCCGGTGTCGATGCGGGTGGAGGCAGTGACGAGCCGGAGCGGCGGACACACAGTGGGCGGATTGGCAGCAGCGTTCGAAGTGACCGGGTGCGGGATGGGGGCCGGAGCGTCGGTGCAGAGCACAGTGTCGGGCAACATGGTTGTGGACGTTGTGGTGTGCGCGGCGTGTGTGGAGGGCACGATGTCGACGAGCGTGTCGTTGGACGGATGCGTGGCGGTGCCGAGCTGCCCACTCAACACGCAGCGACTTGCAGGAAGCGGTGCGATCAACGTGACGAGCGGCAGCGGGGTTGACGACTGCGTATGCAAGCCTGGGTTCTGGTCGCGAACCGGACGGAGTGGAGTGGCATGCGATGCGTGCCCGCGCGGCGGCGTGTGCGATGGCGGGCTGGACAGCCCGCGTGCGGCGCCCGGCTTCTTCCCTGACGCGGACAGCGAAGCGGTGTTTGTGGCGTGTCCGGCGAGCGAGGCATGTCTCGGGAGCGGGCAATGTGCGGCGGGATACACTGCGCGGCTGTGCGCCCAGTGTGCGGATGGCTACTTTGCGCTCGGCGGGCGGTGCCGCAAGTGCCGACCGGTGGCCAACGCGATGGTGACGGTAGCGCTACTGATTGGAGCGCTGGTGGTCACCGGCGTGCTGCTGGCGTTCAACTTGACGGAGGGTCTGCGATACAAGTTTGCTGCGGCGATGATTGGGCTCAACGGGTTGCAGATGAGCGCGATCTACGGGCGGCTCGACTTTGAGTGGGGCCCTGTGGCTCGGGTGTACTTTGACATTGCGTCTGCGGTGAACCTGGACGTGGAGCTGACGAGTCCCGAGTGCTCGCTGGTTCGCGGGGCGGACGTATGGGTGCTCAAGTGGGCGCTCACGCTCATCCTGCCTGTGTTTGTGGCTTTGGCGATCTGCGGGGCGGCAACGGTGTACGGGCTGCTCATCGCCCAGGGCGTGGGCTGG